AACAGATATTCACATTAGCTAGTATTAAAAGTGCCTCATCGGTTGCCAAGGTAGCTCATGAAATCTACCCAACCCTCTCAAAATGGTACTCAAATAATATTCTTTTACAAAATCTAGTAAGAGAAGATAAAACAGAATCCTAAGCAGTGGATTTAAGTCAATCCAAATTATCAAGCTAAATTGTGATAGCAGTTCTAGGTCTAATAAAATTTTCTTATTTCTTCAGAGCAATGAACAATTTTTAACATGGCAGACTAGATAAGCATTTCTTTGGGTTTTGGTTCATTCTGTTTGTTTTCAAAACAGCTGTCAAAATTTGGTTTTGCATTTTGAGGACAGACTTGATCTCTGTACTGGTCAATTTAACAATAAATTTTAAAACACAAACTGTATACACAGTTTGTTCTTGGAGAAAAACAGCAAATTAAGCACAACTTCTGGTTTATTCAGTAGTACAAAATAAACATTTGACATTTTTGAAAAGTTCACTTTTTAAACTTAAGATATATAATCTTAAATTTAAAATATGAACTCAAACATCATAAGTGTATGACAGATCTTTAATATATGATAATAATATATAAACTCAAACAACAGAAGTGATCTTTTTTTTACATGGCCTTTTTAGAAAAGCATAAAATGCTTATATATTAGCTTCCTTTCAAAAGCAAAGGAACACCTCCTTATGGTCATTTAAGTAATATTCCATCTATTTCAGCCGAAAGAAAGCCAGAAAGGAAGCAAAGGCTGCCGTGATTTGAAAAAGTGACCCGAGCAGGAAGGACTGGCAGAGTTAACACAAGATTCAACCAACAGATGGTTAAGAGGGACAAAGAGCAGCAGAAAGCAACTAAGAAGCCAGTTTCTTGAGCAACCAAGAAAGGATGGATATGTTCAGACTGAGAGTAAAGACACACACTTGGGAGAACCATTCATCTATGTCTAAGACATGAGAAAAATGACCCAGCTCCCTGCCACATCTGCTCAAATGCTGGGCAGGACATATTGGTCCTATAATCCTGAAATTCACAAAGGAAAGAAAGCATGTTACTGTGTTGAAAGTTGGGAGTATATTTAAGTAAAGAGCACTACACATTGGGTACACCAGCATGTTATTTTTTCTTTGTGTATAGTAACTAAATTTCTATTTACAATTAACTGAGGAAAGTGCATTACCACGTCAATAAATAATGCAATCAAGTGTTTACAGGTAAACGAGACAATGTTTTTCTTCTCCTTCAACAAAAATAAGCCCAAACTGCAAACTTACGAAAGAACTTATACATTCTGCATCATGAAAGAAGCCTCCCCCACCCGAAAAAATTCATTTGCAAATAACAAATGATAGGTGATGAACTTAAATTTTTAAGATATCAATAGGAAGAGCAAACCTGTACGTACTGAAAAGTCCAAAAGACTTTTAATTCTTCATGAATATGAGGGCTAGGAGGTCCTTCTGATGCTGCTTGTTGTATGTGCGAAACATTCTGAAGAAGCCCCACTTTTCTTACTCTTTCATTAGTAAACAAGACACAGAATTCTTACAAGAACATTACATTCTCCTGGGAATCTAAAAATGCATATTGGCAGGATATTTTTAAATTATTAAACCAATCACACCACTTGCCCAGAAGACAGACATCATTTGAGCAAGCCTCCCTTTCACAGTCATAATACATACAAGTAATAAAAATCTTGATATGAAGAATCAATGAAAGGGAAAAGTGCCTTGTTGTTTTCAGCAAGAAATGGAAAATGTACAGAAAGAAATGCACTAGTAAGGACTACAAGAGTAACTCCTAAACCAGCTTCTTCGTCAAAACTGGAAAAACAGACACATTAAAGAACAGGATTACCAATGTGCAGACTTAAAGAAGATAAAGTTCTTTACTGACTGATGAGACAAAGTAACGAATGTCACCTAGAAATAATCTTCTGACAAACAGCCACATATTATGGCAATACGGCACGCATCCCTTGGCCTGTATGTATCATTTCATAACATTTTTAAGCTGAATGCTCCTTAAAAAGACAAACTGAAGAGCAAAGGAAATATATGTAACATATATTACAGTCACTGTCTTCAAGAAGTCAGAAGTATTTTTAAAAAGAGAAAATAGACACATACTCTGTATTAAGATCCTATGGGCAACACGGCTTAGGTTCTGTAACTTCAACACCAAAAAATAAGTACCCACAAGTCTCCTAAAAGCATGCATTAAGGAAACAACAGACTAAAGATGTGGTCTCCAGGTCGACTGCAAGGCTCCTTGATCTCAAGTCAGAATCTACAGCAGTCACTTCATTAGATCAGAAAGTAAACTTGTCGGACTTTCTTTACTAAAATAACCTAGATAAAATTGGTCATTTTAAAACTGAGCTTATCCCCTTCTACAAGTACAGAAGGGAATAAAGTAAAAGACTTGAGTGAATGACTGAAAATTGTCATTGAATCGTCGTCATGCTCAAAGGATTTAAACTGAAGACAACACTTATAAAGGATCAGCTTATAAAAATAAGGACTTAATTAAAACACTGTTACAACAGCACTTCCAAATGTTGAAAGCCATGGACTTTCTAGGTGTTTGGGTCAACAGTGCAGTCCCAAATTCTGCCAGCCCTACAAGCCTATTACTAGGAAAGTTGTTGCAAAAGAGGCTAACTTATTTATCCTCCTGCTTCTGACCTAGTTGACTCCAACTTTTAAAGCATATAAAAGAAACTGATATATTGCTGGAAATGCTCAAACTGAAGAAAAAATAACGGGGATATAGTCTCATCTGAAAAGTAAGGAGACTAGACAGAGATCATTAAAGTCCTTTCCAGCCCTAAAATTCTATTATTTATTGTGATAACACCAAAAAGCTTATCACAAACTGTATAAGCCTTCAGCTTCCAAAAGTCAGTGATGATGGTTTTAAAGGGGCCGGGGGGGCGGGGGGGGGGGGGCCGCTAGGAGGAGTAGAAGACAAATCACTTCAAGCAGAATCAGTAATTAAGAGTGGCTCAAAAACAAACGTGCTTTGACCAGAGTTCCATGCAACAAAACCTGAATTCCTGAGGCTAGGGGTTACCTTCCTCCTTTTCCCCTCCTGTTTTGTGAAAATGTTTTTCCTCAACCTGCATGGGGTACTAAGTTTAGAAAAACACTTGTTTCATTAAAATGCTAATTTCTTCTTACAATTTCTCTCATGAACTCAATAAAAAGTTAGGTATCTTTACATTCAATGACTTTTATCTCCACTTGACAAAATTAAAAGCAAAATGCAATTAGTAAATGCTCATTTGAATAAACTGTACTCTTAAATTTAACACCAAAAATTGTATCATGAGCAATTCCGGTTGTACATAAATAATGAGCTTTAATAATTTCTTAATGTGTCTGAGCAAAGTGTACTCTTCCAGGCCCACATCAGATCATTAGAGCAAGGAAACTGACTTTAATTCTTCTAAGGCTCAGTTTCCTCACCTGGGAATAAAAAAGTGGTAATACAACCATCACGAAGACAAAATGAGGTAGAGTAGTACCTAGTGCAGTGCCAGAAATCATTACTGCTGTTCACTTTTATTATAAATGTAGGCTGGGCTTTCAACAGCATTTTGAGGTTTGTAATGGGCGGCGAAATTAAGTATTCCGTGTGTTCCTACTTTATTTCTCCAAATTTCTAAAATGTATCCCTCTGGGGAGAAAAAAAACGAGGTTTCTTTTTCCTTCACTTCAAAATTTCCAAAAGGTCACTTTCAAAAGAATTAGAGGCTCCATCCTGATCCCTTTCGAGAACATTCTGACTGGCATAGAAAAGAATCCCTTTCACCCTTAGTATATTAATTAGTCATTTACCTCTAATGTGTAGGTCCTGACCTGTTGCAGATGACTGGAAGGTGTTAATAACATATAATACATATTTATACAACTGCAAGTCAGAGCTTAAAGAGCGGTCAACTGACAAAATGCATAAATAAGAATCATCCCAAGCCATATGTATCACCATCAAGACCACAACACCATCACTGAAATCACCACTAGGACCATGTCTGTAGCACAGACTGAGCTGCTCTAACAGCACTGACCAGTCTCTGAGGCCAGTGCATCACACAATCTCAACAGGTCTCATAAGACACCAAATTAGTGCTTGATTATTACAATATCATATAAAAAATGACTGCTCATTGAAAACACATTATTTTAGAACAAATTCCATTGTTTAGATGCCTTCCATGTGCAGACACCCAGGTCAACAATCATCTACTACATGGTATAATCTAAATTTCAAATCGCTTTCTTCCCTCTTTTTGCGTCCATGCCCATTCAAACAGCATTCCGTATCATATGCCATGTCTTCCTGCATAAAACAGGTACTTAAACAGAAATGCTTTAACCAAAATCCTACTGATTGGTTCTATACTGTGTAAGTTTCTGCCATTTTCTTTTCATCTTGCTGCCACTATGTTTTAATGTGTTATCTCATTATAAAGTCTACCATAGATTTATTGCCTTCCTTTGAAAACAGTAATTTTTTGGAATGATTAAGATCTACCTCGTTCGTTCAAAAAAATTCTATTAAAAAAGGAAATTCTGACCTCCCAACCCCAAATTTAAAAATTCGTATAGAGAGAGCCTTAGAATTTGGACAAGATGTATAATAAGAAGCTTGTTTACTCCATGAGTATGGATGAAAAAGAACCATTTCTTACAGCACGGCTAATTCATATGAAGGGGGAGGAAAAAAGACAACTATGCATCAGAAAGCCTTGCTCTAACTTGTGATCTGATGAGGACATTCGAGAGTATTTAAAGTTCTTTTTTAATGAACAGTCTGATAAAAATCTAGGAATCAGTTGCACATTAAAGAGAAATAACAATAAAACAAGGGACATCCGAGGTCAATGGCCTCCTCTCGACAACCAGCCAACATTCCAAACGCAAAAACCAAAATGCACTGATAATTCATACAGCGCGTGAGTTCACCAACCTCCCTGGTCCCGCGCAATGAGCTCACAGAAGTCAGGATGTGCACAGGCTGGATCCTTCGCTGTTTCCATTCTTGGTTTAAGATTTCTGTTCTTTCCAAAATTTTCTGACGATTGGAACTAAACATACTCTTTAAAAAAATGAAGGAGAGGAGAAAAGAAATTGTTCATCGTTAGAAAATTTGTAACATCTCTAATGAAGGTTAAAATTGAGTGATTCCTCAAAAGTATCAGGGACATTCCTTCAAAAGCATATGGATTTTACACTAAACTGTGGTTTCTCGCGTTCAAATAATACAAAAACACCACACCTATTATTTTACTGAGAGTAGAAGGGGAAGAGGAAATCATTTCCATCCTTTCTTTGTTAACTCTGTATATATCTATATATTTTTTTTAATCACAATGACTTTAGGAACACGGTACCATGAAACACATTCCTTTATATTTGGGTCCTGGGTCTCCACATGCAGTACAAAGTTACACTGAAAAGATGGTGATTTCCAAGTAGGCTGAATAACCATTAGATTAAAATCTTTCCACTTCACTAATGTGCATGGTACGATTTTTGTTAAGACAGACCAAGGACCTTAACTTCCAAGTTTTCATTTATCTTACAGTAAATAAGACCATTTACCCTTTCAAATTAAAACTTATCTTTAGGGAGTAAACCATCCTTAACTGTACCCGCATTTTCACAGAAGACGGAGGATACCTTGACTTCGTCAGCTCGCCTGAACCTCTTGAGCTGCCGCAGGCGCATGTACTCTGACTTTACACGCTTCCGCCAACACACTGGTCCCTTCTCAGACTTCTTCCCAGTCTGGCCCATGATTATTCTAAAAGCAATGGTTTCATATTAAAATCACTAATCTAACCAGCCTGAATATGACCACTTGTGTTTTAATCCCCAGCAAACGAACAATCAACAAAAGAAATGACACATAATTACACTGTTGATATTTGCAAGAAGGGTCCTCATTTGTTCTGCATGGTGAAGTCCTTAAAAACATTCCATTCCAAGTATACATTTTTATTTAATACAACTTTTAAAAGACATCTTTATTTACAAAGATACTCCACTCCTAAACTGCAGTCATCCTACAGAAATGTGACCCATTACAGGAGTTAAGTATATACAGTAACGAGCTGTGAGATCCACACTTGTGGAGTGAAAAAAAAAATGTAGACAGATATTCTAAGTTTTTCATCATTAAATTAGTTGCTACAGGCATAAATGAATGACTGAAAAAGATAAACCTGAAAAAGAAGTAAAATCTACATACAGCACCAAAGGTAGAAAATATACAGTACAACATGTGATAACTGTACAAATTAAAGTATTCCTCCTACATGCACCTTCAACCATGCTTCTCACCTTCAACACTGTGATGAAAGTCTGTGTCTCTGCCTCGTGCCACCTTTCCTCCCATGGGGGCTCCTCTGCTAGCCAGAGGAGAAGGAAGGCAGGGACCCCTTCCGCCCCATCTGTGGTTGCAGAGGCTCTGGAAGCCGGTTATGTGCAACGTGGGCTCAGCCTGCAGTCCACCGGATGTCCAGTTCACACCACAGAGTCTAAACGAGTGTCCTCTTCCAGAGCATTTGTTCATCAAAGTGTTAAAACTGTACTTGTATCTTCAAAAGATTAGAAGGACATTCCTCTATCGGATGGTGCAAAGGTGCCACATTAGGGATTTGTGCTGTAATTTATCTAAGCGCAATGGAAAGTCATAGAGTGTTTTAAGTAAAGGGGCAGGGGGAAGAGTTACACTCTGGAAAGCCCAGCTGACTGCAGTGCAGCGGCAGGAGGGGCTGGAAGAGAGTAAAAGGCAAAGGTGAGGCCAGGTGAGACTGGAAGGCGGGACTGTCCCTAGACAAGAGACGACGCAGCTTCTTCAACGACACCAGTGATGAGAGAAAGGAAATGATTTCAAGAGTCACTTGAGAGCAAACACGGCAAGGATTTCAATATGGGGAAGATGGCTTTCTGGCCTGAATAACCTGAGTAGGGTTTCATGTCCCTGCTTACATACAGCCCTCGGGCATAGAGAAAATTGCCTAAGGAGAGGAATTAGAGAAAGAAAAGGAACCCAGAGGTCAGTGGTAACTTTCTGTACGAATATTCTACCACCAAACCACGAAAAGAGAACACAAATGGTGGATTATTCAAGCTGAGAGAGGGGCAAAGAAAGCACGTAATTAATGACTAGTAAGAATCAGGCAATGAATATACAAAGATGAATGAAACGCAGAACTTGCCCTTGCGGCGCTTATAACCGACCTAAGAAGGCCTAAAGGAACGGACTTTACAATATGAGATAAATATGAAAAAGTACTGGGGCTGAGGGTGGGGGACACAAGCAAGGAGCTGCAGAAGGATGGCAGCAAAGTGACCACTCAACCTTAAAAGTTGAGTCGGGTTTCAAAAGGCAAAGAGAGAACGGAAGGGGCTCAGGTAAGAGCAGGAGCCAGCTGGGTTCGGGGCTGTAAGGGCGCAGAGGGGCCGCCAGCCGACACTGCAAACAAAGGTGGACCCCAAATTAGGTAAAGAGCCCAAATTACAAGAATTGAGGGAATGAGAAGAACGAAGAGATTTCAGAACGTAAGATAAAGACAGTTGAACTTAAGATAAAGACAGTTGAATGAGATCACAGAGATAGGACTGAGTCCCATAAAAGCTTCAAAGTGCGACCTTGCCTGGGGTGCTGAGTGGAACAAAGATGACAGTCCTCAGAGCTGAGAAGGCTAAACCCCACAGCCCATCCCAACTTGGCGGAAACACAGAAAGTGGGGAAGAAGTTAGGAAGACGGTGAGGCTGGGCAAAAAGACGCCAAAGTTAGGGAGAGGCTGGAGCTTTATTCTAAAAATGACTATGTGGCAATTTTTTGCTTTCACATCTGCTGGTTAGTTAACAGATGAGCTCAGGTAATTCTATGCAAATTATTTTCAGACACTTAGCACTTCAAAGGCCTAGCTAGAAAGGAGAGGAATCAGATAAAAAGGGATGATCTGTTGCATTCGCTCAGAAACTCATCACAACTAGACCCATCTGCTGCTTCCACAAATTCATGGTCCTGGGAGGCGGCACCACCATGCCTGATAAAAACCTGCACTGGGAACACGGCTTTCGTTTTCATTGATATGCAACACGGGTATCACTACAGTGCATCTTTTAAGGTGCATTTTTTATGTCGTGGTGAAGAGGTATCATTTCAATAGTTAGCACTTCATGTTTTCCACTGGAACCCTCCGTGTCTAACACGCTGTAATACCTTCTATGTGTTTCTACCATTAGTAACAACACCTCTGGAAAAGTATGTCAGGACAAAACCAAAGCTGTTACACTAAACTAACAAGTTGCTCCATCAATGACAAAACACTTCAAAGTTGATTTGGAACCAACCTCTCCGTAAGAGGGCATGAAAGGATAAGTTTCCACGTTTATAAACTTCACAAAGTTCCTCCAAATAAAGAAGTAAGCAAGTGAAGGTTTTAAGCTATAGAACGATCTGGTAAATATACACAATAGAGAGGGAAAGAAAAAAGGACAGTGATTCATTTAGGGGAAATTATCAAAATATAAGAATCACGACCTCCGAATTAGGATAAGAAATGAAAGTGTACAGACTGTTGTTTAAAAGTATAGGGATAAACAGGCAGATCCATGAAAAAAAAATAACAAAATTTAAGGCACCATCAGAAGGATGTTTTACATAAGGCAAACTGCCTCCGACTGTCACAGCATTTACAACGTATTAAAATCACATTTTCACGTTCTTCACCCCACTTCACCCCCACTGGAAGTCCCTCAGTCTCAAGAACAATTCTTCTCCATTTGTAAAATCGCAGGCTGTGTGCCTGGCAAACAGATTTAAAAACAAACAAAAGGCAGGTCTATTAACATGCGCTGATCATGAGCCGCTGTGCCACAAGGTATGAAAGGAAGGGTGGCTGCCGTGCTGAGTGCGGGAAGGGAGGGGGAGTCACCCCACCCCACCACGGAGAAACCCGGGAGGAGATGAGTCTCAGGAGCTGTCAGGGCCCTGTGGTCCCGCCGCCTTACAAAACCTGGAGCCTCTGGGTCTTCCTTAGGGAAGCTGATATTGCCTGAGAGACCTCATCCAAACCACTGGGGTAGCATCACCTACCCCACAGCTGGGTGCGAACACCAGACACCGGCAGGCTCACCCACCTCTCAGGCCCTGCGTGCAGAGACTTCAGGCCTTCAAACGTGAGCTCCCCCGCTCCTTCCCGCCCCTGAAGGCAGACAAACCAGCTCTTCTGACTATTTCCCACTATCACAGCCCAGTAAGTATTATGATACAGCTTGGAATACTCGTACATTATTAGCAAAAAGAAACATTAAAATGACTTGCTACTAAATGGATGGGGATTTGTGGAAAATCCAATTTTTAAATTTCTCACTCAGAAGATTTGCTTAGTTTCATAGGTGAAATGGCACGAGTATGATTTTTACCCAGGAAAAAAACAGCTTCTCTTATTCAAAACAGGTTATAGCTCAAGTCTACCTGTATACAGTGACACCAAAACAACAGTTATGCTTTAATTCAAAGACAAACCAGGTTATGGCGGGGAACCATCCAAACCTTAATACAATGTAAATAAAATAAAGGAAAATTATACAGTCCAGAGTCTTATTTATGAATCAACCAAACTCAAATTGTTTTTGCCGCCCTGCATCAGTTCACCTTCTCTGGGAACTTTGCACCCACCCTTCTCTAAGGACTGCCACCTCCATGGGAGGGAGCCCGAGGCCCTGGCCCACAGCCCCTGTAGTGACCAGTGCTGGGATGAATACACGACCAGATGTGAAAGTCTCAGGAGGTTCCCTGCAAGGTCAAGAATGCTCACCCTTTCCACTTAGGTTTGAACCTGGAAACATGCTGCCTGAAGAATCGCTGGAAGCCAACTGCAACCACAAGAGGAGAGCCTGCAAAGAACAGTCAACAAGAGAAAAAGAAAAAGCACCCAAAGCCAAGAAATGGACTCTAGTCCCATCACTGAGCCCTGACCAGGCGTGCTTTGCCAAACCAACTCCACAACTGTTCAGTTATGTGAGCCAAGGAATTCCCTCTCTTTTGCTTAAACCAGTTTGGATTAGATTTTCCGCCACATGAGACACAGAAGGGGTCTGAGGTATCGTTTTAATATTGAGATTATATACACAACAACGCCTGAGTGAACAGAAGACAGGTTCTCGAGCCCTATTTCCTCATGGTCAACAGCATCGGCTCCACTCCCACGTGGTGAGGAGCTCCGCCCCTGCCCTGGGTTTGGACGGCCCTGGTGACCCTAAGACACACCTCTCTAGCTCCAGTGACTGGGCCACACAGCACAGGAATCAGCATTCTTCTCCATCAAGTCCAACTCTAGTCTACTCGTAAGGGGTCTTTTCCGAAATAAGGTAACATTCCTGCCCCTCCTTACTCAGTTGCCAATGATTGAGGAATTAAAAAAAAAAAAAATGCCCTAGGCACTTTCAGTGCACTTTATGCCCTTCTTTAAAGGTTTTTCATTCCTAAAGGATTCGCCAAATCAAGGCACTCGCCATCTACTAGCCTTGCTGAGTTCTGCTTCTACTTGTCTGAAGACAACTAAAAAATAAATTACATGTACAACTTATCCTTCTCAATTAAGTCAATAGCATCAACTTTGACTCTAAACTGAAGACCAGACTAAGGAAGGTAAAATCCAAATTTAACAACATTTAAGTAATAATGATTGCAATATTCTCGATGTCCTTCCCTAACTGAAACTGCCAATTTTGAAAAATCACCAATCTTCAATAGTGCTTTTATATTTAAAATGCTTTGAGGG